AATTTAAATACTTGAAAATTTTTTTCAATTAAATTAAATTATGAGCTTGCAATACAAATTAAACCAATGATTCAAATTTAATTAATTAAACTCTTTAATTAATCAATTTCCATTCATAGGTTATTCGACTATAGATTTAAAGTTGCATTTATGTACGATAGGACAAATCGTGTTCGATATAATCATTACAAACAAGTCAATCTCTTAACGAGTTGTTCATAATTATAATTGGGCCAAAAGTCCGTTTTACTAATTCTATAATGAACAATTTGTTTATGATCTAATCATAAACCAAGTCCCTCCCATACAAATAAGAGGATGAGGTCCCATGAACAATTTGTTTATGATCCAATCCTAAACAAATAAGAGGATGAGGTCCCATTATCCAAGTCCTGAAATCAGTACTTAAGAGAACAACTCATTTATTTTCCCTATGAAAATGATGGAATTTCATCTTATGATATTATGTCACAACTCCCTCTTTGGTCAAGTTCCCAACATGGTAGACATATTGAATCGGCTATAAGGGTCATTCTCACCCATGCAAATTAAAAGATAAGTTTTTAGAGGAAAGAGTTCATAACTCACTTAGAATTAAGATCGAGTCGTATATGATTATCATGTGAAATATTAATCTTCTCAATTAACGGATTTACAATGAGAGATTAAATATTTCTTGGTCCAATCTTATACAAACTCATTGTATAAGATACTCCCACTCACATGTCTCCACAAACGATTTGGATCAAATCGTTTGTAACGATTACAAAGTGGGTCATATCAATAGTATTACCACGATTAGACATCTAAACTTATCTATATACTATATACCCTCTAAGTTATTACTTGAACACGATCCTCTTATATGTCAACTATATACGGTTCAATATTACATTAATAATCTTGAACTTTCATATAAGGGATAATATTAAAATGTAAATAAAATATTAAAAATTTAATAATTAATTAAGAGGCCGAGGGGCATAAATCTCAATGCAATAGTGTCTTGGCTTGAGTATTTTAAGAAACACTAAGTAATTGACCCCACTATTGAGAGAGTCAGGGAATGCAAACACATCAACATAAATGAGACCTATCATTTAAAACTGTATTATTTTAAGTGGCCTTCGTTCGGGCAAGTTGGATGTGTAATACTTCTCTACACACAATTCACACGTGCGAGCATAAACCCACTAGGCGGACTCGCGCACCCCCTAGGCCTGCTAGTTAGGCTAGCTCTTCTGGCTTGTAGTCGAATGCCCGAAGGTACATCGACCGTCGTGCACCATGCCAAGTGTCACGATCATGCTTGTCCAAAGTGTGTTGCTTGTGGCTGCATGGCAGATGTCCCGGTCTTGCTTGTCCAGGACGTGTTGTCCATGGTAGCATGTCTGTTCCAAACCCCTTTTACATGCTTTCATCTTAGTAGGCCTTTACCATTTCATGTTGGGTCAATACGGGGTGTATGACCATTCACCAAAACCATGTCTACGTCCCCAGGCTAAAATGCCCGAAAATGTACTACAGGGGATATGACTATTTATCCTTTCTTCTTACTCTAAGTTATATACTATTTAGGCCGTGATATTTCTTAATTTGCTTATAGTCATATAATATTGCTTTCTTCAATTCTTCAAATCATTTTCAAATGTATTTCCTCATTCACATTTTCTAAACCTTTTCTCGCAACGTGACTCGAAGCTTGAACATGCACCGACATTGTTTATGACGTTTGAATTTCTCACGGCGGACTTGTTCGCTTGGTTAGAACAAGTACCGCACAATCGTTGTACCGCTATCGCAAGAATACAATTGTGACAAGTGGTATTAGAGCCGAGTAGGTTCTTTAGAAAGTATTACACAAACACGTCCGCTGCAAAACAACTGGACAAGTTTTAGATAGACTGATTAGCTAAAATCGAAGAATAGTTACTCTGCATGAGTGAAGTTCCTGATGGAATGATGCTTTTGTTATCTCACATGAATGAGATTGCTGCTAAAGCCAACAGATTCAATGAGATGGTGGGCGCCTTGAAGCAATGCCTATCCGCGAATTAATGACTAGGGTCGAGGCCCTAGAAGACAAGGCCACAAGAGCTAGCTTCGAGCGTGGGGATTGCCCGAATAGAGGAGCGCACCGAGGGCTTAGACAATGTCCAACTGGCGATCGTTCAGATGGTCTCAAATTTTTCTGATGGCTTTAGAGAAGCCTTTGGAGTAGTCAAGGCTGAAGTGGCGGAACTAAGAGCCAGATTAAACCTTACTGTGAGAGCGGTGGCGACAAATCCCAACTAGGGGTGTAGCATAGTTTACAAGATAAAGGTCCCAGAGCCCAAACCCTTTTGTGGGGTTTGAGATGCCAAGACTCAAGAGAACTTTATATTTGACCACAAATAATACTTTCGAGTCACTAGTACTGTGATAGAGGAAGCGAAGGTCACATTGGCAACAATTCATCTAACTGACGATGCAAAGTTATGGTGGAGGTCCAAGTACATGGACATTCAAGATGGTCGATGTACTGTGGACACTTGGGATAGCTTGAAACAAGAACTCCACTCTCAATTCTTCACACGAAATGTCGACCCCAAGGAAATTAAGAGAACTGAGTCATATGGGCAATACTCAAGATTACATTAAGCAGTTTTTTGGACTTATGTTAAATATTCGTGATATGTCCGAGACAAACAAGATCTTCAATTTCATCGAGGGTCTGAAATCGTGGGTGAAAAACAAGCTCTATAAATAAAGAATCCAAACCCTTTCCACAACCTATGCTATTGCCGAACGGTTGTTTGATCTTGATAGCGAAGAGCCTCAAGAGATGAGGCGGAATAGAGCAAACTCCCCAGAGGTGGAGGAAGTGATAGATCCAAAGGCAGGTAGGAGGGATACAAATCCTCCAAATAGAGAGGTTGGACTCCATGGCAGAGACCTCATAGCCCGACTAGTCAAAGTCATGACCCCCTTCTTGTTTCATATATAGGGGGCTCATCAAGTATCTAAGTGCGCGCAGAAGACATTATGCGTCTTACAAGCAAAACTTGAAATTAATTCAAAAGTTGAGTATGAGATGGTAGAAAAAGAAATATTGTTAGCTAGGACTGTTGGACACCCTCGCGTGGGGGCGCTAAAGTACTTGTCTGCTCTTCAGAAGAGTGGAAGAAATAAATCATAGAGCAGCCAGAAACACTACCGTCGACACTTGAGCCACTCACAACTTCATGACGGAGATCGAAGCAAAACGCCTGAATATCCCTTGGCTTCGAGACGCAGGAAAGATGAAGGCCGTCAATTCGACAGCCTTACTTGTCTTAGGAGTTGCGAAGAGAACTTCCATCAAGCTGGGAACTTGTACTGGACGAACCGACTTTATGATAATCAAGATGGACGACTTCGACATCGTGTTAGGGATGGACTTCCTACTAAAACACAAAGTCATTCCCATGCCCCTAACAAAAAGTTTAGTAATAACGGGGTCAAACCCGACGATTATCCAGATAAAAACTCGCCAGCCAAGAGGGGTGAAAATGATGTCAGCAGTACAATTGAGACAGGATCTAAGTCATGATGAACCTATGCTCGTTGCCATTACTGTATTGGAAGAGGGAAGCTCGAACAAGCCAATCCCAACAAAGACCTCGCGGTCAATTTAGAAACACTGGGACACAAGACAAGAAAGTCATATAAAGTATTTATCTCTACCTAAGGGGGGCAAAATCGAGGTTTATGTCATATCGGGGGCAAAATCGCATGCCACAAATGATCGCCATATAGCTCAACCCAAGTTAGCTGAATTCTACGAGCAACTAAATGACTTGCTAACAGTTGGGTTCATTAAATCCACTAATACCACTGTTAGTGATCACCTAAGGGCTGGGGAGAGACACCAAGTCAACACCTCCACTGAAGGGGAGAGACAGATAAACCTTTGAAACAACACATGGTCACATAGAAGTACCATCTAGACAGAGGAGGAGAAGAGTTGGTCGGAAGTGTTGACCATGATAGTTTAAGGAGGAGAGAGATTTCTGATCAAGTTGAGGTCAGATTAACACCAATATCAAAGCAACAAGAGTCAAAGACTGGTTGTAACGTATTGTTAGAAATTTTTTTTTGCGAAAAGACGTTATCGGAGCTCAAGAATTTCGGCGAGGTGCTGGAGTTCTGAGGCAACACTTAGAGAACCGTGCCCACGTCCCACAACACGCCAAAATTTCCCCACGACGCCTACACATCCTCAGAGCCGCATGCAAGGAAGAAAACATAAGGAAGAAGACGAGAGAGAGAAATGAAGAAGTTTTTTGGCGAGCTTGAAACATGCATCACGACGCTTGAAACGACCAACTCACCCACGAAAGAGATCCCCGACGAGTGTACAACCACCTAAGGTATGTTTCCACGCCTCTCCAACGTCCATTGTCGTCGGTAACAAGAGATAGATTCAATTTTTAGAAATCTTGTGGATCTATCAATGTAGGTGATTACGAACCACGAAACTTCGTGGAAAAGAAGAGGAGAGGTCAACATAGAGATAGAGGAAGAAAAGAACGAGAAAAGACGTCGGAAATGACTGCGGGGAGGAGAGAGAAAGGAATCAAAAAATCGTGCTGAGTCGGCTGAAGAAGACGAATTCAACGAACGGTGTTTTCAATGTTGAAGCATGTTTTCTTTTGAAATTTATTACTTAAATGATGATGTTTTTTTAGAGTATAATCTACATATGAGCTCAGACTAAAATGACAGTAGTGACTTTAGGTAGCTGAAATCTAGGGTCGTTATCGTTGATATCAAAGCTCTAGGTTATAGATCTTGTAGACCAACATTTTTCCTGCTTGCTATTTTGTACAACTCGTTTACATATCTTCTCTTGTCGTGTTTAGCTAATACACCGTCTTTCTTAGTCATATCAAGACACTAATCTCTCAATGACTTGAAGTAGGATGCTGCCCATTTTCTTTGACTAGACTTGGGATCATTGGGATCATTGATCTCCTCCACTTAAACATAGCCCTAGACACCTATGGGATCAATGAGCATGACTTCATGAGTGTATATACATTGTTGACATGAGTAGCCGATGCATACATAGTTTAGCTCTTTGCTTGCATAGATTTGTCATTTTAGCTAACAATTCACAAATTACGCCCCGATTAACTTTGAATCAAGAGCAGCTCGTAGAGAAAGTGCTACAAATTTTCAATTTCCATTGCAAGTGAGGAGGTAAACGCCGGCGCTCATATTCAAGCACATTGCATTCCATCCAAATCCCACTCTCTCGCGTTCGTATTTTTCATCCCCATCCGAAGCAATCGCTATGTGTTCATTTCTCTCTCTTTACCCATTCTTCGTGAGCGAACTTATACGCTGTTAGGGTCCTTGGGGGTTTTAGATTTTCTCTGCTTTCAAAAGCGTTTAATCTATCTGCTATTATCTGCCATTGTCGCTTTCATTTTAGGGATTCTGTACTTGCTCGTTGCCATTCGCTTCATCGAATTAATGTGTAATTGAAAGCATACGGCCGCAGTTTTCGCCTGGGGTTTTTTGATTTCAGCATGTCAGCTGCTTCGAGGGGTAGAGTTACCATTACACTCGGCCGTAGCGGACAGGTTGGTTGTCAGTTGTCACTTTGTTTGACTGTTCTTCTTCTTCGGTTGACTTGTAGTTAGTCATGTTTCAGGTTCTGCTGGGAATGGTTTCTCTTAATGCTTAATGAACTTGATTCTTGTTTCTTGCTTGAAAAGATTGATCTGTATAAGTGTCGTTGCATAATGTTGTTACCTAGAAGATGGCAAAATGGAAAGAAAATTTGCTTTTCTTTTTGTTTATTCATGTTCTTATTGATTGAATTTTGAAACGTTGTTGATAGTTGTCTGTCTGGCCGTCTTGATTTTTTTTGTCTCTATTTATACATTTATCAATCACTTTGTAGGTAGTAAAAAAGGCTGGACCAGGAACTGATGTTTCTGTTTCTGATTCTTTGCTCGTTTCTGGAACTAAGAGATCTGTGAGAGATAGATTGGGAAATAGCCCTGATAGTGATCTGTTTTATGGAAGCCAACTTAATAACAAACGGTATGTCGCTCGTTCCTTTTACGTTTTATCTGCTTTGGTTCGTTATAACTTAGAATTGTCTTGTTTGCTCAACTTTTGGTACTTCGATCACTCAGTCACCTTGATTAATGATTGCGTCTTAAAATCTATTTGCAGTTATCGGTGTATTTTTGATTGAATGCATGAAAAAGGGACGTTATTCATGTTTGGAAAACAAATTGTTATTTGCAAAATACTTCGGATTGTTAGTGATTACCAGGAATGTTGAGTTATTCATATGCGTCCTCATTTTTGGAGTGTTGACAGTAGATCAATTCTTTCGGTTCTTTTTTCTGTTTCTTAAATTATTTTGCTTCCTTTCTGAATGTACGTGCCTTATTTATCTTTGGCAGATCACGAGGAGATGGTATGTCAAATTGGAGTTCTAATGGGTTGGGTGGTAATGAGCTTAATCGATCTAATTTTATTGTCCTTCATGCTAACGAAATTCTGACACCCTTTAATTTCTGTTATCTTTAAAATCAGTATCACACATTGGTAAAGATGACCTTCGGTATAAACTCTTGCAAAAAGATGCATCTAGACGTGCTCAAAGTGACAACACGAGATGCTTAGACCTTCGGGAGAAGCTACCTAAGGCAGATCAAACTCCTATTCGACATCTTGATTCACGGCGTCGAGATCCACCATTGCATAATACTAATATCGTACGCCGAACCCTTTTAACAAGAGCAGTAGATGATTTACCTCAGGACTCGTTAGGAAGTTCTTATTCCACGTGGACCATGGAAAATTTGAGACAACGATCACCTGCTAGAATTGTAGAACCTTCAAGGCGCTACTCTCTACAAAGAGATGATGAGAAACTACAGAGAAGACCAACAAACCTTTCATTTGAGAACCCAAGATCAGTGAGCTCTGTAGCCAAAGATGTTCTCAATGCTTCAGGTTCTGTCAGTACTGCAACTTTTAGGACTAATTCTCTATTGCTTCCTACGTCTGCAAAGCCTGTGGCGCCTATTGTTCCACGACATCTTCCGCCAAGTGGCATTGCGCACAAAACTCCCTATCCGGTATGATCTATTTTTTATTCTCCCTTAAAATCTCTTGGCTTTTGGCTTTTGTCTTTTCTATAACTTGATTTTTCCAATCTGATTAAGAAGTAGCTGTTGCCTGCGTTGAATGATTTGGTTTGCTATCGTATTTTCTAATATGTAAATTTTAATTACTGCAATTATTGTATGTCGTTATAGGTTTTTTTTTCTTTCTTTTTTTTGCAAAAAACCAAATTTTCATTGAACAAATGAAAGAATACAAAAGTATACAATCAAGATTGCCCATCTCTATTGCTCACCGCACTATCCCCAAATGAGCTCCTTCATTCATCCCAAATGTCATTATCAAATTGTTACTCCCCAAACATATGAATCAGGTCCTCCTCATGTCTCTTACAAAGGATACCCCATTGCGGGTACAAAACTAGGAACAAATGTCTTTGATCATGATCCAAAATGTTAACCTTCCCAAGTAAAGCTTGCCACACAAAAAATTTCACCAACCTTATAGAGAGAGATAAAAAGCTTCACCTCACTTTGTGTCAGTGGCATCTGTCCGTCATTGCTCAAGATATTCCACTTCATACAACTTTGTTTTTCAACGCTTGTTGATAGAGAAGCTTGTGGATTTCCCCTCCTTTGAATGGGTACTCTTGTAGTTCACTTTTCTCTGTTTTGTGTGATAATCCTCCCTTTTGCCCCTATTGCTTTTCCTTGTTGAGGAAGATTAGAATGTTGAAGGTCAATTTTTTGCTCGAGGCATTCTCCCTTGCTATTTGGCATTGGATGCAAGAGTGCAACTATCCTCTTTGGTATATATATGTAGGTTCTACCGAAAATATGATTTTCATTAATGACTAGGGACATTTAGTTAGCAATTATAATGAGTAACCTTTCAACGTCAAAAGATACTACCCATTATTAGGTTTCTCAATCTCGATTTTGATGAATTATAGGTAATAAAGTGCCGAATATCATTAATTTACCTTTTCATTTCTTGGCGTTTTTTGGATCTTGTAAATCTTTCTGGAGGATAACAATGTTTTATTGAACGAAGATATCTTTTTAACTTTGTCGGACTGATTACTATTTTATTTATAAATGTTTAGCTTTAAGCTTTGTTGTTTTCTGTTGGCTTGTTATTTACAGGGTGACGAACTTCAAAGCATAGATGGGTTCTTGCAGTCTCTAGGATTGGGAAAATTTTCCATTCTTTTTAAGGCCGAGGAAGTATGTTAAAATTTCCCTTTTCACTTAACCTTTTCTTGAGTGACACAGGGCATTGGTTTTACTCCTTTCTAATTCACTGTTAAACAAATTGATTTAATTAAATTTATCATAGCCCGTTACTTATCAGCTTAAGCTTTTGGATTGATGAGTGATTTAACATGGTATCACCGCAAGACCATAGGTCTTGTGTTCAAACTCGTGTAATATCATTTCCTCCCCTATTAATATTGATTTCTACTTGTTGGGTCTTCTACAAATTTTCAAGCGCACAAATAAGGAGTGTTACAAGAATTGGTATAATTAAAATTTACCATAACCCCATAACCCATCCATTTAAGCTTTTAGATTGGTTGGTGGTTTAACACTCCTACCAACTTTTTCCTAATCATGTATAAGTTAGTGGTTTATTGAATTTATGATGCAGGTTGATATGACTGCCTTGAAGCAAATGGGGGAGAATGACCTCAAAGAGCTTGGAATACCTATGGTATGGCAGTTGTTTGTGTCCTTTGTCTTATGTCTATGGTCTATACGCTTTCTAATTACTATTGAGGTTTTAGGTTTTTGATTAATCGTTTCTTTTTCTTTCTCAATGAGAGACGAGCACTTTCGTTAAACTGAGTGAGGTTTAAGAACAAGAGGCAAGTTACAACTTGAAAAAGTAGAGTTTTATCTTTCAACTGGGTTTCAGTAAGCTTGGCCCATTATTGGGTTTACAAAAAAGATAAACACGACGAGATAAACTTACTAAAAAGTTGAAAAGGTGAAAATTCATGCTTTAAGATGTAAAAATGACTAATAAAGGAAAACCAAAAGAAGAGCAACAATAGTAGAGCTTGCCAACTTCCCCCACTGTGAGAATATCCTCTTGTTGATAGGTCTAGCGTCTGTATGGGAACTTCCCCCACTCACAATACCACCCTTTGTTGTTCAAGTGAAGTACATCAAGAATGTAACACATGCACACACATGAAGCGTCCACATTCAAACGAAGCTAACCATATGGGAACTCTCTCTCCCAACCTTTACATGCTCTCAAGTATAGAGAAAGGATTTTCATATAAGTGGCATTCCTTCATACACCTGCCCTAAAACACCCATTACAAGACTTGTCACGCCCTCTCTCTATGCTTGACTAAGTATATCTGTGGTTCCACCCTAACACCCACATTAAAGTCTTCTATAAAGACAAGTCAATTTGAGAGTTCTTTAAAGCCTGTCCAAGAGAAAAGGAATTGAGGTGTAATGCTACAACATTTTTGTTGTAGTATCTCTGACAGTAGATGATAGAAAGCATGACGCCTAGGTGCTTCCTAGAGCAGTATGGCATTTACATGAGGCAAAGTTTCGAGTTTGGAATACAGCAAGCTCATTTCTAGAGCCATGGCGTTAACCCAATTTTTCCTTGTAAAACCCTTGTTGCTAGATGACCTTTTTGTGGCTCCCTATAGATATGGCCTTATTTGTTAGGTTATTCGTGAGGATAATACAGAGAAAAATAGGCTGCCACTACGAGAATCCTCTAGAGAGGGTTGGTCTTAGAGATAAGGTAAAGCCTGTATGAGCATAGGTGAGTGTGTTTCTCTATTGATCCCATTGTAAACTTGGTCTTTACTGGTACAACTTGCAACTATAGAATACTAGGCGTAGTCTGAGTTAGAAATGAATCAATATAGATTTTGTATCAAGTGATTTTCTCTCTTTTATTATGTTTTGTCAATTCATTGCTTATATTTTATTGTTATTGTACCATCATGTCTGTGGTTAGGGGATATAAGTTCCCATTACGGATGCCAAAAATTCCAAATTAATTGTAGCCTAAGCTCTATTTGTAAATGTCTAACAAGATAGCTATATAAACTGAGGTACCTTAGTCAAAGCCACAGGGACTTCAACGAAGATATCGATATTGACAAAAGACAAGTCAATCTTCGTCAAATCAAGCTACTTCAAACTATATCAAGTGGAGTGCATTTACTCTTGGATGGTTACAAAGCCTAACTGAAGATTTTAAATTTTGGATTTATGGGAGTTTTTATGTAATTTTCCGTTTTGAAATTTGTTTTTATTAATTTCAAGTTTCTTTTTAGAAAGAAAACTTATTCCTTCTTTGAGATCTTAATCACTCTATAAGGAGAATCAATCATATCTCACTTGAATGGAATGATCTTAAACTTGCAAACTATCACAAGATTGCAAAGTTTGATTTATCTCTTGGCTAAAAGAAAAGCTCTAGGCTCATTTTAAATCTTTGAAATCGGAATGTAAGAAACATCATGGATGGTTATAAACTTATATATAGCCTTCAAAAGAAACCTTATAGTGACCTGTGGTCAATTAAAGGGTTGGGTAACTTTAAATGGAACAACATTTTGCTGAGTCAAGGAGGCATAGGGTTAGGTAACTATCCGGATCATGATTTTCCTACTCCTAGAGAGAAAAGTCCTTCTCTTTTTGGCCGGTTGTGGGCAAGGAGGGATTCGAACCCCCGACACCGTGATTCGTAGCCACGTGCTCTAATCCTCTGAGCTACAGGCCCCACCCTGTCTCCACTAGATCTATTCTTGGGGGTACCCTATACAAAGAAACCTTTCCTCTCCCTAGTCATTTTCCATTTCGAGTTAAAAAGATGTGAAAGTGCCTCTCTCTCAACGCATTTCGGGAAGAACCAGCTAGCTCTGGGTTCGAGTGGCATTTCACCCCGAACTACAACTCATCCGCTGATTCTTCAATATCAGTTGGTTCGGACCTTCACTTAGTAAGGAATTCCCCTGGTATTATTAGTAAGTGGCAAGCTGGTACTGGGGTCAATGAAACCTGGCAATTTACTTGAAAAAAATGAATTTTTTGAGTGATAGAAGCCTTTGAGAGTTCACAGCTGTTTTTATTAACATTTACCAGAGATCAAGTTAGGCTGTTTTTTTCCTTTTGCAATCAACTCATCACCGAGGAATGAACTTTCGCTAGCAGTTCATGTTCTTCAGAATTATTTATTGAACTGTCACCCTGAAGCTTATTTTTTCATTTCAGGGACCTAGAAAGAAAATTCTTCTTGCAATTGCTCCACATTCCGAGCGACAACCTTGACGACGATAGAGCACCTCTTGCATCGGCTGGTTTAGTTCCGCCCCTTATATCTCAAAGACCCGAGACTCGATATGTATGTTCTTTAGATGTTTAGTGCTAAGTGAGTGGTTTTTGGATCTGTCCTATCTTTGTTCTAATATTGTTGGGGGGTATAACTTTTGTTTTTCACTCCCCATCATAAACATTGTTGCGAAGTCAAAACTCACTAAACATGTTTGTTTACTACAATCGATAGTCTCTGTTCGCATTCGTAGATGATAAAGCCTGGTTTAGCGATGTTCGAGAGAGATTTGTATATTTCCAAATGCTTAATTTCCTCAGTCTCTTCAATTTTAGCAAGGATTCAGGTAGCCTGATGGGAGCAAAGACTTGGGATCATTGGGTCTTTGCAGAAGAAGATTGTGGCCATGGTTTGGATCATCGCCAATATCTCATGCACAGGATTTGTTGTTTTAATCTTTCTTTTGCCTAATAGGTTATGTGATTTCATGTGCTTTTATCAACTGTTTTGGGCTTATAAAAAGCACTCTTCCCTTCCCTATTTGATAATCTCTTCTTTCTCTCAGCTTTCTCAGGCAGATTCACCAAAAGCATCAAAAAGAAAAGAACGGATATAAAAGGCTCTCTACTGCCCCCTCTCACACTAACACTGTTTATTTGGTCTATATTACCGTTGATTTATTTAAATTTGCCCAAATATTTATTAATTTTAGGGCAAAAATCGAATTATTGTGCCATTTTTAATCGTTTTTGTCAATGAATGGTTTGTGTTGAGTTAATAGAGTTAGAGATTTTGGCTATTGTAGGGGGAAGAATGACCATGCGAGGAAGTGTGAAGGGAGGAGAGAGAGACAGTAGAGATTTTCAGTAATCAAAAGGGAGGGGAATGGCAATCGAATAGATGGATGTTTATTTGATTGGACACTTGAGTCTTTTCGGTTTGTAATATGATTCTAAATTGTGAGCAACGAGTGTTCTTTTAGGGAGTTTCCTTCGAAATTTAGACAAGTAGTAAAATACACGTAGGGATCGTTTGGATATATGGCAAGTAGGCTAGAAAAATCAAACTTCATGTGAGCTAACATGGGATTAGTCTCATTAGTTATTAGTTAATGCTTACCCATAATTGTACCAAAAGGTGGATGAAAATTTGTGTACTTACACTGGGTTGGGTGTTTGATGACTTTTGGGTGTGTATTGGTATTAAAAACGTTAAGTTTAGGTCTTGTAAACATTTAGGATAGAGAATTGTATATCTATATGGCTTAACTCGCCGACACACCTCGTTGTGGCCAAGTAAGTTATCTTGTATAATAAACTTTTAAGAGTTTAAGGTAAGGATTTATATATTGTATATAATACGTGAATAACTTGCAAAATGAGTGATGGCAATTAAGTGTTAGCATATGCTAAGATGGTTTGATAATGGACTCATCTCCCCATTTGGACCTTCAAAATCTCTCCTCGTTGGGTCTTTCTTTTGTTTTCCTTTTTCATAAATTTTGGTGATTGAATTGAGGATTCCTCATAGTACTCCCTTACCCGGTCGTTAAATGTTTAGGGATAAGTCAAGCTAATCTTAGAAATAGGATAGAACGTCGGTTAAGGCCAACCAAGTAAGTGGTCGTACCATCGTAGGCTATGAATGTATGTTGCATGTTGGCACGTGCTTGTGATTTTGCACGTGTTATAAATTGTATATTTAAACCATTATGATTTAATACATAAATGTTATGGTAAACGTTATGTTGTCTTTAGATGAATTGATATGCGTTATAATGTTATGTATTATGTGATTGTTATGATTTGCACGTTATGAACTGTTATGTTGGAAGCATGAAAATGTTACGTTATGTCTTGTGAATTGCATGTATAGCATGATATAAATGACATGAAGGATGGTAAATAACATGAAATATAACCCTTGTATAAGTGTGAATGATATGATAATTGATATGAGAAATGGTATGATATGAATAAAATGATAGCGGGGTTATCTTTAATAATGTTGAAAATGGAAAAATATTGAGACCTCATGCATTAATATGTGCTCATGCATTGGGAGATATCCCTATTCCTTCACGATGGTACAGACACATACACTACCAGGCACGAGAACGACCATTCTATTTTACATAATGCTGATGACTACTATTTCTGATGAGTGTCTGACATAGAGAGCTACCATAGTATGCTCGCCCGACAAGCAAAAGGGGCCTAACGGTGTGCAAACCAACTGGTGGGTCGATACTCGCACGTGTAGGCCGTGTGTAAGATATAAATTACACATCCAAGTTGCCCGATAGGATAGTACTGCAGGAAAATAGACCATTATGATAGGTCCCGTCATTGTATTCACATGTTCTTGCATCATAACCCCAATAAGGGGTCGCTTACTAAGTATTCTTAAATGCTTAAGCCTCGTGCTACTTCTATTTCAGGTTAAAGCAAGACTTTCCCGTACAACTGACGAAGACATAGCAAATCGAGCTCATGCTCCATACATAAGGTAGTCACATTTATTTTCTTAGGCTTAGGCTAGGATAGGATGTTTTTAATTTAAACGTTTATTTATTTTATTTAGTCTTTGGTTATGTCGTTTTAAAGGTGTTATCAATCCACCATGCACGGGTTCAATTCCCGTCGTTCGCCCATATAAATATATAACTGATAAGATAAATGAGTTTCCCTCCTATCATCATCATTATTATTATTATTAATTTTTTTTTTATTTTGTTTGTAAAGTAAAGACGAAGAAAAAAAATTCTCCTTTCTCTCTTATTTACTACGGCGACAAAAAATAAAATTATTGACCATTGAGTCTCACTATTTGAGAAACTTCTAGAAACATAACGTGCCTTCGGTAAGATCGATCCAGTAGCAGCTGAGTCCTAGTTGGTGGAAGGTCTTGAGACAACCTTATGTTATATGGATAGTTATATGAACTTATCGAGGGAGTACTTGGTGCACTGCCTACCTATATGCGGATGAGATCAGGGTTCAATTATGGCCCACCCTCGCTTAGACTATGCTACAACCCTGTGGATCTCTATGTTAGTAGGCTTGCACAGTCTAAAGAGCAAGCAGTAAATGACCGTTCAACCCACCCCACTTCATTAGGACAAAAGAGGAAATTAGATAGACATACTTCCAAGACCGATAGACGAACACATGGGTGATCAGGACATCGCAAACAGGTTGCAAACTAGGGAAATTGTCACCATGAAGGTGAGTGAATGTTGAGCCACCGTGTAGTCGACTTTCTGCATAAGAATGACCTAGAGGCTAACAGATCGATCCGACAGAATTAGGGAGGCTGGGAAATTCATTGCTAGCAATAGGGGTATGCTATAGCCCATGCAATCATGACTAAGAGGGTCGATGAGCCTGACACAATGGTAATTGGTACGTTACTCGTCCTTGGACACCTAGCATTCATCCTATTCAACTCTGGTTCCACACCATCCTTCATTTCTAAGGGGTTTATTAAGCAAGCGCATCTAGAAATAGAACCTCTGTGGTAGACTCTTCGTATCTTGTCCTAAACGTTGTTTTTGGTACATCCCTTTCTTTAATCTTGTTTTGATGGTACCCTGATCGGAGGTCTATCTTGGAGAATACCTTCGTCTCCCTAAGTTGGTTGAATAGGTCTTCTATGCGAGGGAGGGGGTACTTGTTCTTTATCGTCATCTTATTTAGTTCTCTATAATTGATGCACAGGTGCATTGATCCATCATTCTTTTTGACAAACAACACCGGCGCACCCCAAGAAGATATGCTAGGTTGGATGAAGCCTTTGTCTAGTAGGTCTTGTAACTGCGCCTTGAGTTCTTTCAACTCTGCTGCCGCCATGCGATAGGGTGCTTTGAAAATAGGCTCAATTCTCAGCTAGAGTTCTATGGCAAAGTCTACAACTCGAGAAGGAGGTATCGTGGTAGGTCTTCAAGAAAAACATATGGAAATTTGTTCACTATTGGTACAATGTCTAAGGTCTTTTCCATTCCTCTTACACCTACAACACATGTTAATATAAACCAACTCCCTTGTTGAACTAGTCTCTTAGTTTTCATCATTGAGACTATCTTTGGGGTAGTCCCCGTGCATGTACCCTTAAACTTAAAGTTGGGTCCTCACAATGGTGAGAATATTCTTTTTTATGACAGTCTATACTAGCATGGTTTTCAGCTAACCAATAAATGCCTAGTATTACATTGAAGTCTCTCATGCTAACTACTATCAGATCTACGCTTAGGATACAATCGACTACGGTTACTTGGCCATCTTTTACTCTATTCTTAGCTACTAAGTGTACCCTCGCGGGGGTACTTACAGACAATACATGCAATAAGGGTTCTAGTTCGAACTCTGCTTGTGTATAAAAAACAACAGATATAAAAGAATGCGTAGAACCAGAATCAAGTATGGTAAAAATGTAATGACCTAAAACGGGTAGTGTACCTGTCACCATGGTGTCGAACCTCTCAGTGTCTCTATTGGTGGATGTATATGCCCTAGCTTGAGCACGAGTTTGCACCGGCCTGTCCGCCTCTTCCACTACGCTGGGTGGGTTAGGTTTGTTTTCGGTGTCCTTGGCCATGCAGTTGGTGACGATATGACCTTGGCTACATCGAAAACAGGCTCTCGTCCCAGCCATACATCTTCCTCCGTGTAACTTTCCACATATCTTGCACTCTAGTTCTCCTTACCTCTAGCCCCAGTCTAGTTCTTGGGGTGTCTGTCCATATGTCAAGGAGGGTGCCTTTTAACTTGTCGCAGGACAGGTCAGTTGGCATAGTAGGGCCTACGCGCCAGTGGTCGATGGTCTGAGTTCCACGAGTCGTAAGGCCGTTTGCGTCCAATAGTAACTGGTTGTTCTTATTGTACCTCATCCCTGGGATTCTCTAAGGCCATTGTAGTTCTCAAAGCTTCCTCATATGTTTTCGGGTCTATAGCTTCCACCATGCGGTGAATCTCTACGTCCAAGCCTAAGACAAATTTCTCAGTCATCTTCTGTTTAGTATCTACGAAGGACGGCGCAAACCTCTTTAATCTCATGAAATCTCTATCATATCTTTCCACCGAGTGTCCACCCTAAGTCAAATGGGGCAAAATTCTATCGTCTCCTAAGTTGTTCTGCTTCGCAATAGTCCTGCTTGAGGAAGGCCTCATTAAACTGATCCCACTCCATAATTCCCCCTCCTAAGTCGATATTGTCCTTATTATCCCTCCACCATACTTCTGCGTCCTTTTGCAGTGCAAATGACGCACATGAGACTTTCTGGTTATCCAGCCTCCCATCAACTCGAATATGGTTTCCATAGACAAAATCCACATATGTGCTTCTATTCGATCTCTCGTAGTATCAATGTATAGGTGGGTATCATATCGTTTGAAGTCTTGTAACCAATTCGCTCCTCTGGCAGCTGGGGAAGTGTTGGCTTGTTGGGTGACCATCATGGTGTGCATCATGACCTAAAACGACTCCCACGGCAGTCTAGTGGTGGGGTCTACTCCCGCTGCTAGTGCTGCTAGAGGTGGTGC